TTATTGTTTATCCAAAGATCGAAGGATTTTGTCGTAATAATCATATTTTTAAAGGGCTTCACATTTTTAAACCGTTGATTTAAATTTTAGTCCTCCTGAAGATTTTTTCCTTTAATTTCCCTAAAATGCTATCAAAGGGTCAAAACATTTCCTCAATACGGCCAACAAAAAAAAATAATTTTTAACTTTATTAAGGTTTACTACCACCCTATTATTAACTTCCCGTAAGGTAAGTTATAGTAATCGCAAAAAATCGAACATGAAAATTTTTACATATCTTTACGTTTCAAAGTTTCTGAATATTTTGGCATACCTTGGAAAAAATGGATGTATGTGTGTGTGCGGATACAAATTTTCGTCGACGATTCCGGGAACACCGATCAACCGATTTGAATAATTCAAAAAAACATTCGATTCGTGTCAATAAGGAGACGTGCTGATTAGTTATTGGCGAAGGCAGGTCTAGCCGTTCCGAAGATACGGAGCAAAAAGTGCCAAAAATAAACAAATTTCTTATAACATACATACGTCGCCTAATTTAAAAAAGACATAAGTTTATAGTATGTATTTATAATAAATGATCTATTTGAAATTATTCAAAACAATTATTGATTATTTTCATTTCTAGAACGTTCAATTACGGTACGGGAAGTTCCAGTAATTTGCCTTCAGACACGATGCCATGCGCCCCACAGTATAATGTTTTTTTTTAATTTTATTGGCCTCCCTTACATGGAGCATTTAGCCACCTACAACATTAAATTTTTAAATTCTATATTATTATATAATGTTTAATAATCTGTATTTTGAATCCTGGGATGTCTACTTGAACAAAGTTATTATAATTCAAAATTGATCTTTTATAACATATACGTTACGAATAAACACCATAGTCTCCATAGTCTCGTAATCTTTCAACACCAAATTCAAGTTTGCGTTATTTCATTGTCGTGATTTCCAAACTTCTGCACATTGTCTAAACTTTAAATTTAGTTTAGGGACTAGTACAATAATGTGGTTTTCATACAAAAACTACAATGTGGTTTAGGAATTATAATTAAATTTTATAGATCGGTGAGTGGTTGACCTCGGCTCGTAGTGGGAACAAAGCAGTTCTCACTTGACCGCTTGACCAGAGAAAATATGACTAACGTTTCATTGCACTTATGTGCCAAAGTGTACACTTGGTGCAACACTCCTATGAGCGCAATCATGGCCTAATACCATGGCATCGTGCCATAAGGCATAGTACTGAAAATTCCCGTACCAAAAATTATTTTTTTTAAAAAAGCTGATATTTTTTGAAAATTAAAAACAAACTAGCTGTAAGTGGAATTCTGTCCTAAGGCAATTAAGGCATCGTGCCTTAAGGCAAATTGCTGGAACTTCCCGTACCAATTATTATTATTTTTTTAAACGATTAACATTTTTGAAAAAAATTACTTTGAAAAAATAAGATTTTTGAGAAACTATAAATTGGACAAAAAATACTTTTTTTTGAAAAAAATTTTTTTTAAATCGTAAAAGCAATCGTACTGCTTTAACTGCATAGGGACAACATATAAAGCGCGTAAGCGCCGCGTCGCTGTCTAACGCATAAGCATTGATACGGGACCCATAGGAATGTTAACAAAATGTATACTTATTGTTAAAATCTCTATAAAATATCTGATAATTTGATGTGCATATGTCTAATGATCATTTTTGACCGCCAAATGGCTCACTTTTTTACTTTTTTCTCCATATCTCCGAAACCGCTAGACCTACCTTCGTGAAAATTTTATCGATTCTTCATCTTGTCAATACAAGTGAAATGTTTTTTGAATTATTCAAATCGGACGCTCCGTTCTCTTAAAAACTGAGTTACCGTTTTCGGCACTTTTTGCCCCGTATCTTCGGAACGGCTAGACCTGCCTTCGCCAAAAACTAATCAGCACGTCTCCTTATCAATTCAAATCGGTTGATCCGTGTTCCCGAAATCGTCGACGAAAATTTGTATCCGCACATACATACACACACGTACATACATACACACACACATACACACACACACATACATCCATTTTTTCTAAGGTATGCCAAAATGTTCAAAAACCTCTGAAACGTAAAGATATATAAAAATTTTCATTTTTGATTTTTTTGCGATTACTATAACTTGCCCTACGGGAAGTTAATTATTTGAGATTTATGAGAAAAAATTGACTTTTAAAAAATTTGATTTTTTTTGTATTATGAAATTTACTGAAAATTTTGAACTTTTTTAGGGCAATAGTGCTTTAATCGTAAACAATATTTGTACTTATCTAACAAATTTGATGTGTATATGTCTAATGATCATTTTTGACCGGTAAATGTCATTTTATTTTACTTTTTTGTTGGATCTCCGAAACCGCAAGACCTACCTTTCCAATAATGTAATTTGCTCTTGGTTTTATCAATACAAACAAAATGTTTTTTGAATCATTAAATGCGGAACCTCTGTTTTCCCAAAAACGGTATTGCCATTTTTTAGCAAGTTTTGCCCCGTATCTTCGAAATGGTTGGACATGTCTTTGCCCAAAACTAATCAACATGTCACCCGATCAATGCGAATCGAATGTTTTTTTTAATTATCCAAATCCGTTGATCCGTGTTTCCGAAATTGTCGTCAAAAATTTGTATCCACACACTCACATATACATACATTTTTTCCAAGGTACGCTAGAATGTTCAGTAATCTTTAAAACGTAAGGATATATATAAAAATTCTCATGATCGTTTTTTGCAATTACTATAACTTACCCTATGCGAAGTTAATAATTAAAATATTGTAGCACATAGTTTCTAAAAAAAAATCGGTACACATATGAGATAACTGCAGTACATTTTAAAAAATTGCAGTAAAAAATGAAATTTGTTTTTAATGTACCATTCATTTATACCGAATAAGATTAATGAAAATATGTCATGAAAAATATTCATCACAAAAACAATCTCTTGATTTTTTTTGACGTCTGAATATGAGTATTTTTGTGCATATTTTAAATATCTGTACAAACAGAATAAAGTGTAATAATTTTAAATGTATATTAGTACGAACAGTACAGATAATTTAATAAAACATTTATTTTGAATTTTGGGTAAATTATTCTAATTGTCTGCATAAAGATACAGAACGTAAAAAGTTTTGATATGAATATTTCAGGTATATTTCTAAATAAAATATTCCACATACCGTGCAAGATTGTAAACTACTGAGAGGTTTATGCTCAAAAATGATAACAAATAAGACAATTTGAATAATTACAAAATAAAAACACTAATAAATGATCACTTAAATGGTACTGGAAATAATATGGTATCATGAAATCATTGCAGATTCAGTACTGCAAAAAATAAATTTTTATAAATCAATAGAATAAAAATAGTTAAATATATTATATAATAAGAAAAAATAAAATATAAAATTTTAATATATGATAATATATTATTATAATATAATAAAGATATTAAATTAATTGAGTTATTTACCTATCGATCATGTATTACATATGATCTCAAAATGTAAACGATTAATTTAATCAAATTTTAATTTAGATTTAAGAATATATGTAATTAATTGTGAACTTGTGAATTAAGTGTTATTAACTTCCCGTAATGAAAATTTTTCCATTTCTCCACGTTTTGAAGGTTTCTGAACATTTTGGCATACCTCAGAAAAAATGGATGTGTGTGTGTTTTATATGTCCGCATTTTTTCGTCCACGTTTTCGGGCGCACGGATCAACCGATTTGAATGGTTCAAAAAACATTCAATTCCTATTGATAGATGTCCTGATTAGTTTTTGACAAATGCAGGTCCAGCCGTTACGGAGATAAAGAGCAAAGAGTGCAGAAAATAGAAATTGAGTTTTTGAGAGAAATGAGCATCCGAATTGAATGATTCAAAAAACTTTCTGCTTGTGTTGAGAAAACAATTGCTTTTGGAAAAAAAATTTCGTTTAATTTTTTTTTCAATTTTTTTTGTATATCGGAAATAATTCAGATTTCCATTTTAATTCTAGCTAAAGTTTTAAAGCTCACTTATATACTTTAAATAAATATTTTTGACTTTGTAATTCAGTTTATATAATTCTTATAAATATTAGACAATGTTACAGCATTTATAATAATCTATTTGAAAACCTTTAATTTTCCTCGAACATTTCGTTACGGTACGGGAAGTTCCAGCAATTTGCCTTAAAACACGATGCCATACACACCACTAGTTACAATATTTTTGGCTATTATATGCCACAATCAAAATATAGATCAATCTTTAATGTTTCATATGTGGATATTTTGCAATATTGTTTCATGTATTAATATCACTGACTAATATAATAATTCGTAATCTAATATTATAGAAAACCTACTTAAGATTAGTCACGTAACACATTTGAGTAAACGAGAAAATGATTAAAGCAAACAATTCAGGGAAGATTTGGTAGTTTCGAGCAACTGTTAACAAGCTCCAACCGTATGTAAATATGTAATTTATTCTGAAGAGTGTCAATTAAATTTGAATGAATCTCGCATATTTTGTAAAAAATATGTTATTATCAAAAAAAGCATATGTAATTTCCAGAAGCATGATCAATTTGATAAGTATGAAAATGCTTACTTAGTTACCGTTTACAAAATGCTTCTAATTTCATTCATCAATCTATCCATATTGATACCACTGCAAGTTACGAAAAGATACATAAACCTGTGAAAGATTTTCTGGATGTCCATAATGCGCGTACCTTATATGAAGCATATGAACAGATATATTAATTTAAACAAATAGAAAGTTATTTTTATATATCCGTTTACAAAATATGAACCAAAATAACCTTTAATGCAACGCGTGAGGTAAACCCCAGAACACGGCAGCATTTACAATAATACGAATTGATCGATTTTAATAAAATCGAAATAGTTTAATAATAATAAAACAATGCGGGAAGTTACTCGAAAAATAAAAAAAAGAATACCTACATTTTTGTGTATCTCATTGTTTGTAGGTAAATCCTGTTATGTATATATCCTATGCGAGAACGTCAAAAATTGATTATTTAAAAACACACTTTATTAACACAGCACAACACACACGAAATTTAACTATAAAATATATTATTCGAACCAGTAATTTATTTCACATTTATTTTTCATTTATAAGTCCACATATATAATAGAAATTGCAAAAACCGATGTTGATGAATAAAACACAACCTAAAGGTGCTGTGTTTAGAATCGTACTGCACAGCTGACAGCCGTTCTTGCGTAGATACGAATATTTTGAGCGGATTCGGATTTGTCGATTAGAGTGCCATCTATGTCAGTGTTTTATTTTTACACTTGCAGTGAGTCCATAGAGCATTTATAATACATATGTTTCAGGGGAAGATATCTAAGAAAATAGTTCTGAGAGCAGTCTAGTGTGCGCTAGTGTCGCATAAAAATTTAATCGATATGACCAATTTGTTTATGTCCGTTAGAATCATAATCTTTATTATGAATTGTAATGCATAGATAAGTAAACATAAATGTTGTAATGATTACAACATACTACACATAAGAACACAAATGCTCATTCTCGTCCAATAATGTTAACTGGTTCAACTAATTCTTAGGTTCATTAATTTTACGATATGTTGGAACATAAACAAGTATTTTTTATAAAGGGGCATATACCCTTTTGGTTCTTTTTTACTTATATTACGGAATAACTTCATTATTACTTATTGATAATATCTTTTATCCATATTTGCATTGAACATAACACTTCTCTTTGAACACAGTACATATCTATGATGCGTTATGCTTGTACATCCTTATTGTTTTCATATTTTTCATGCTTTAATTCAAGAGCCATGGTCCTTTTGGACCATGGACTCACAGTTATGAAAGTAAATATTTTAAATGTATAGAAAGCAAAAATCGCAAACTCAACATATATGACGTCGCGATTAATATATAGTTATTAATACTTCAAATATTAAAATAATCCTATTCATATTCGCATGGGTAAATTGCTACTACACAATTAATGTTAATATATAATTTAAAAAACCAACTATAAAATAGTTTGCTATTATAAAACACACAAAATATTTATGGTGGAGAAGAATCATTACATTTGGCGAAATTTTTCATATTTTAATTTTGACATTAACGTTTTGCTGAGTAACCCTTACTCACTCAAAGCTAGTATCTCAAATTTTGCTTTTATAAAAATGCAACGATTTGTAAGACAGAATACTACATTTGTATGTGGAGTCACTCGTTAGACAGAATACTACTGTATGAATTGATTTAAAAATTTTGATTCCTTCCTGAATTATTAAACCATTTTTATATTTTATTGTATCTTGAACATCTATTAAAGAATGGGATTGAATAAAACAATAATCTTTTGCAAATAATTTATTAAAATTCAACTTTTATAAATTATCATTGTTTACCAGAATCTTCTTTTAACGAAACAGTGCGATTGAAAATTAGCTGAAACAAATTAGGGTTTATTAATATTGTACTTTAATAATAGTGTAATTAATATTTAGTAGCAATACAAACCGTTGACTCAGTGGTATCTGGGTCAACTGAGAAAAATCCAACTCTTTCAAACTGATATTTATCATAAACTTTCGCAGATTTGATGCTTGCATCACCCATTGCTTGAATTTCTTTTAAAGTATCTTCTCGACAATCAGTCAAAAAACCTCCAGGTACTTCTTCTGGATTGCGATGTTTGAATCTTAAATTATATATAAAAATATTTCAAAACACTGATGAAAAAGTACTTATTGTATATCTGAATTTGAAAGAATATTCAATCTTTGAACCAATAGAACTTTTACTCATCTTGAACTAGAATTTCCCTACAAAAAATAGTTTAAAATAAAACAATACTCACAGCATTTCATAGAGTCGTACAGTAACATTTACTGGATGGGATACCCAATGAATAAAAGCTTTAGGTTTAGAGGCAGTTTCCGATTTTTCACATGTGCAAACTACTTCATACACTTTTCCCGTTGAATCTTTCTTAACCTAATTTAATTGATATAATTATTTCATTAAACATATAAATCATAAATGAAAAGATAACCATTTTAATTATGTTTTTTACAACATCAAAGTTGTCACAATATTGATATGTATTTAGTAAATCGAGGCATAATAATTTGCCCATTAATAACACAAAAAAAATTAGATAATTTGTTGTGGATATATAAATAATGATTGCTATATTTAATTTCTAAATATTAATTTAACCCTTTGAGCCCTATTGTGATGTTATGCAATTTTTTTTATATGAATTTGAAGACATAATAAAGACAAATGATAAATAGAGATATTATTTATGAGCAATATTAACTAGCATTAGCATCAAACATAGTTAAACATGAGAAGTAATGAAAATGGCTTTCATAATACAAACATTTGGAAAGCATGTAATAATTTTTACACCACCATGATACATCAAATGTTTCCAAGTAAGTATTAAATTATTTTGTATATTATTTTTGGCTATTTATGTTTTATTAAGTTACCTCTTTGACTGCAATTACAAAACCAGCATATCTCAATCCAACTGCCTGATTTGGTGTTAAACGTCTATAACCCTTGTCAGGCGTCTCGGTAAAATCAGTAGCTTCTATGTAAACTTCTTTATCGAATAATATATTATGATTCCCTTTGGTGTGTCACCAGGAAAATCGGGCACACTTAAGGTTTGTGGTTCATTGTATGGATAATTCTCCAATATTAATTTTAGGGGTTCAAGTACTACCATTGTCCTAAAAAAAAAAATTCGCGATTAAAAGAAGAAATGTTTTGTGGCTAGGTTTCGTTTTTAATATGATTACTTTCGCATTTATTTTATTTGCATAATTTCTAACCTTGGAGCTGTATTATTTAAAACATCCCTAACACAAGCTTCTAACATTGCTGGATGCACAGAGCCTTGGGCTCCTGACACACCCATTTGAGCGCAAAACATATTGACAGCTTCTGCAGGAAAACCCCTTCTACGTAGTGCAGTTAATGTAAAGAGACGAGGATCATCCCAATCTGTAAATAATTAGATTGAATCTGAAGGTATTTCAACAACTTAAAATCAACGTTTTTATAAGTAACATAGACTAAGAAGAATGAACTAGTTGCAAGTAGCATTTTGCATTAATGCAAGTTGCATAAAACACGGAACGTATATAGATGTTCAGCATTTAGCAGTTTAAAATCGCTTAAGCTCTGGGAATTTCAGGCTAAATTGAACTAAACTTTGATGAATTTTATAATTAAACAGTTTATCATAGACTATAAAATTAATGTACAAAGTATCAGACTATAAAATTAATGTACAAAGTACCATCAAAATCAGGTAAAAAAATATTTCATGATTAAATTACGAAGAATTACTCCCGGCAGATCTTTGCCAAAAACTAAAAAACTCGATTAATAATCGATGTCTACCAAACAGTTTTTGAATTTTCTAAATCCATTCAAGTTTGTGGGCTAATGCTTGGACATTTTGTTTTTTATAAAAGACAAATGATCTTATGTCCTGTACATTTTCTTTCATTCAATCCTTGTCTATTCATAATAACATCACCAATGTAAATATATTTTATCTATTGTCTAATTTTTTCATGGAAAATTTTTAGTACACTCACCATTGACAATCTTCTCTGAAATGAGCTTGGCAATTTTTCTTTTGGATACAACAGTATAATCCACTGATAACCTTCCATACTCCCATTGTACTGGGCAATAAATATTCAAAGCATTGCAGAGCCAATAATACGATGACCTGAAATTAAAAATAAACCAACAAATTCTTAATGCAATTAATGATAATCTAATATATAATGTTGTTTCATTCATAATACCTTCTTGATTGAAACTCTTTTGTACACAATGAATGAGTAATGTTTTCTATGCTATCACAAAGACAGTGAGTGTAATCGTAAGTGGGGTATATGCACCATTTGGTACCAGTTCTCGGGTGAGGTAAAAATTTAATTCTGTAGGCAACAGGATCTACTTTTCCTTCTTCTAAAACCGTTTTCATCCTGAGTGTTGCTAGCCCTTCCTCAATTTTACCATTTTTCATATCCTAAAAGATATTAACAAATATTGAATTATTTGTTTAATAATGTTTAAAAGCAAATTTTTAATGCTTCAAATTTACCTCAAATAACTGAAGAGATTCTTCTATTGGTCGGTTCCGCCATGGAGATTGCTCTACATTGAAACCTTTCATTTCATCAGCTTTTTGATGACAAACATAAGCCAAATCCTTTTTTATCAACTCTACTGCCCAATTATACAATTGGTCAAAATTATCTGAAGAGTGTGTTATTTTATCTGGCTTGTAACCTAAATATTGAAGATGATTAATTAGATTAGAATTAATTATATGATTAATTAAAAACAAGATTTTTGAAATAACATACCCAGCCATTCCACCATATCTTTTATGCCCGTAAAGAATTTCTCTTCTTCCTTTTCTGGATTTGTGTCATCATACCTCAAATTACATAAACCCTTATGTGCAGCAGCATATCCAAAGTTAATATTGATAGCTTTGGCATGTCCAATGTGTAAAATACCATTAGGTTCTGGTGGAAAACGAGTTTGAACCTATAAATATCAATAAAAATCAAATTTTGTATGCAAATATGAAGATTATTCAACCAGATGAATCTTCAATAGCTAAACAATTCATTATTTTTATCTTATACGTAATTTAAATCAATTATATTTTAGATAATTATAATTATTTTAGTTTGAATATATTATTATCACTTGTTAAACAGTAATTGCTTACTGACTTCAAAAAATTAATTTATAGTTAAGTTTTCACAGAATTGAGAAATTATTAGAAGAAAATCTGAATTCTATATTGGCAATTGAATGCACAATTAGAATTGCATAAAAAGACAAATTTACCCTTCCTCCAGTTTCTTCTAAATGCTTTTTTAAAAGTTCATGAGTATGGGGAGTAACTACATAACCATCAGTCTTATAGTTTTCACCAGGAGCATGAAAATGCACTTTTGTCTTCATCAATTCAGAAATACTATTGGCACCAAGACTTGCTTGATCAACTTCCTCTGGCTTCTAAAGTTATTAAAGCGTTTATTAAAATTTGTTAACATAACTTCAGATAATAATGTAACTAGTTACCTTTTTCTGCTCTGATTTTTTATCTGCAACTGGTGCTGATACTTTAACTTTCTTTTCAACTTTTGGCAAAGGTGCTAAATCGGCATCAGTTTTTGGCCCCAATAAGTCAAAAACCTAAACGACAGAAATTATTAAAATTCTTCAATTTCAGGCACATTAAAAAGTGTTAATACCTGTAAGTCCACTTCACATTTTATAGCCCGACCATCTGCCCAGGGTAAAGAACTCCTTACACTTTGCATCAAAGGACCAGTGTTGTATCTAAAAATTTGAGAATGTGCCCATGGTTAATAAAATTAAAAAACTATTATAAATTTAATTATTTTATTCTTCAATTCCATTTTAGTACCTGTATCGTTTCTCAAGAATTGCCTCTTTATGTTCCAACATAGCCTCATTTACTGCTTTTTCAATTTGTTCAGGTGTAACAACAACACCAATTCCACAAGCCTTCTCAAATTCATCGATTTGATATCCATTTAAATGAGACAACATAAATTGCAAGGCCGCTGGATAAAAAAGATTTAAATTTCATATATATGTATATATATAAAAGATATTGTATTAAACACCATAAGCATTCTCCATCATTATTGAATATAATATTTAACTACAAAAAATAAATAACCTTTTTCCAAAAACTTTTTGAATCCGACATTTAAAAATCTGCATATATCGATAATAAACTTATCCACAAATTGCAGAATGTGCACTTGAGGTCATGTTGCTTCATAGCATTTTTTAAATATCAATTTATATCAGAAATAATTGAGAAATATGTTAATAGCCTTATAATTATGGTGCATTCAAGTTCATAATTTTTCTAATTACCTACCATCAACTCTAACTGTTGTGTCTAATTTTGATGTTGATATATATTTTACAAGTACAGGCAATTGATCTATAATCTGTGGTTTGATTTTTGTTGCCACATAATAGATTAAAGAACCAGCTCCTTGGGGCAAAATAATGCCCCTCACCTGAAACAATGATTCATGAATTAGTGCTACTTATGACATAAAAAACCAAATAAATGTAATGAGTATAAGTTAAATAAAATTAGGTAGTACCTCATGTAATGCTAATGTTAAATTTTTCGTAACAACTGTATTTTTTAACGTTTCTTTCGCCTTTTGTTCACTTAAACCTAAAGCTTTAAAAGATTCAACTAATTCGTCGTTTGATACCGTCATATTGACGCCAGTAAAATAAATTAATGGAAATGAAACTAATAATTTAATTATAATGATGTGTGCCGAGACATATGTTGGATTTATTGAAATACTGATGAAATAATCAAAAATAGCAACGCAATGACATTTAACAGCTACGTATCTGTGCCAACACACGTGTTTGGAAGTTTTGCAACTGTCAGCAATCAGCATGAACATTTTTCGAAGAGGTTAATAACACGAAAGCGCCGCCAACAAAATCATTCGAAATTCGGACAGCGAGTTAAGCTTAATTATTAAATAAATAATATAAATTAACAAATAAATAAAATTAATTAACAAAAATGCTTATTTAATGCATCTAATCATACGAAGATTTTTGGGAAAAACAAATGTAGAAAAATTTAGAAGAAAGTAGTGTATGTGTAGAAATATTCTGTAGTCATGATGACAGATAACTGATAACCAAAATTGATTACAAATCAGCAATAATTTATTCTTAAAATGTCGAGTGAAAATATTATTAACGATAATGAATCACAGAATAAGAACCCACAAACAGTGCAAGTGGATGCTGCTCATCCTAGATTTAGAAAGCAATATCAATGTATGTTTTGTAACCAAAACTTTGAACCTACACTTGAGGGATTAAATGACCATTTCAGAGGAACATTTCATAAAAGTGAAGAATTATGTGATATTTGTCGATCTACAGTTTTCTCATATATCAATACTAAAAAAGAACGAAAACATTATTTCACATGCAATTGCCACCTTGAATTTGAAACAAAAACTGTAACCGAAGATAAAAACTGTGTAAGAAAAACAAAACATACCACCAATGATTTATGATAACACACCTTAAGGGTCTAGTTTTAAGACCTTCATTAATTTCAATATAAAATTGTACATGTTATTTATTTGATATGAAAGTTATATATGTAAATATAAACAATATTGTTGATTATAGAAAACATTAGGTAATTTCTAAAACATTGGAATTCACATTAGAAAAGTGATAGAAATAAAATCATTGTATTCATTTTTACCTCCACCATACATGCATCTGTACTAAACACCATACAACAATACTCAAAATGTTTTTTGTTTAACCTATTACAATCCCTGAGTAGTTCACAGTCTTCGTGTGTACTTAAATCAATGAATATACTTAATAGCAAAATTACTGATAGCAATATAATCTTATAGTACAAAAAATAATGGTAATTTTGAATTTGATTATAATTTAAGTAGTGCTAATTTTATATGCATTTGTATAGTTATGATGATCACAGAAGGAGGAGTAAAATAAAAATATTATTTATAATTATTATTTTGTTATCCTAGATGACTATTAAATTATTAGAACAGAATAATTTAATCACGCTAGATTATAAAAAAAGTGGGATAAATAGTATTGTTGATTTTACTGTAATTTTACCTTTACTGAATAAATCGAAATATTTATTTATGTATTTAGTAATTACTTTTTCAATCGTATTGAAGACACATCTCTTAACATTTTTGCAGCTTGTTCCGGTGTTAAATCTCGCTGGGATTGAGCTAACAATTCAAAACCAACCATAAATTTTTTAACAGATGCTGACCTTAGTAAAGGTGGATAATAAAGAGCATGTAATGTCCAGTGATCATTAGACTTTTCCAACTCTGAGCCTGTTGGTGCACCTTAAAAAAAATTATACGTTCTATTAACTGAAGACATAAAAGATAATAAAATTTAATATCACTTTTGTATTATATTATGGATTTGCTTAAATTATTGTTATATATCAGTATCAAGTGATACTTATATTATTTGTGATATTAATTTTTTTAGACATATATCTAAAAGAACCTACTAAAAATTTAGTAAAAATAGAAAAAAGAAGAGTAGAGCTTTCATTTCACAATGATATACTTACCATGCCATCCCATGCTATAAGGAAAAGAACATTGAAACAAATTATCATATTTTGTTACTAATATTCTAATAATATCAGCAAGTGATTCTTTTTGATTTATTCTTAGTTCTGATATTCTTTTCACATGTGTTTTCGGCAGTAACAAAGTTTCAAATGGCCAAACAGCCCAATAGGGCACCACAATTAACCAATCATCATTCTCAGTTACAATTCTTATCTGAAATTATCAGAAAAATAATTAATAAAAATAATTCTTACATATAACTCATTATTTGGTACCATTAATAACAACAACCTCTTTCTCAATTTCTCTCTGCACATAATCCATTAAAAGTGGCCTTCCATATTTTTCATAATATTTTTGTTGAAATGAATCCTTGGTAGCGGGTTCATGAGGTATGAAGGAGGTAGCCCATATTTGGCAATGAGGATGGGGATTAGAACATCCCATTGCAAAACCTTTGTTCTCAAAAATTTGCACCCATTCGTATTTTTTAGCTAAATCTTCATATAATTCAATCCAGCTGAAAATAAAAAGAAGATATATTAAAATTCATGTTGGTAATTATGTAATATTTTCAAAAACGCAAAACTATTGTGAGAGATTTTGCTATGATTCTATTATTCATTTATATCTTGTTTGACATTCAAAATCAGCACAAATAAAATATATATTAATTATATAAACCTTATTTTAAAGTCAAATTAAATTTTTATTAAATTTAGACTTAAAGAAATGAATAATGATAAATAATTATGAATCGGCTATGTATAAAAAATATACATTGAATGGATGAATGTATATGTTATAAAATAAAAATTCGAATTATTAACTTCCCGTAGGGGTAATTACTATAGTAATCGCAAAAAAATCGAAAATGAAAATTTTTATATATCTTTACGTTTTAGAGGTTTCTGAACATTTTGGCATACTTTGGAAAAAATTGATGTATGTGTGTGTGTGTGTTTGTGTGCGGATACAAATTTTCGTCGACGATTTCGGGAACACGGTTCAACCGATTTCAATTATTCAAAAAACAATCAATTCCTATTAATAAGGAGACGTGCTGATTAGTTTTTGGCACAGGCAGGTCTAACCGTTTCTGAAGTACGGGGAAAAAAGTGCCAAAAACGGTAACTCAGCTTTTAAGAGAACGGAGGGTCCGGTTATAATAATTCAAAAAACATTTTACTTGTATTGACAAAATGAAGAACTGATTAAATTTTTGGGAAGGCATGTCTAGCGGTTTCGGAGATCTAGTAACAAAAGTAAAAAAAATGCCATTTTGAGGTCAAAAATGATCATTAGACATACGCACATCAAATTATCACACGAAGATTTTAAAAATGTGTATCAATTTCTATGGGTATCGTATCATCGTTTGCCTTGTTTATCTATGGTTTGCCCGTTAGACGGCGACTCGGCGCTTTCGCGCTTCGATATTGTGTCTCTATGTAGCTAAAGCAGTGCGATTGCTTTGAAGAAAAGTTCAAAATTCCAAAATATTTCAAAATAAAAAAAAACATTTTTTTCCAAGTCATTTCTTCTCAAAAATTAAAAATTTCTCAAAAATCTAATTTTTTCAAAGTTTAAAATAAATTTAATCTTTTTTAAAAAATTTAATTTTTGGTACGGGAAGTACCAGCAATTTGCCTTAAGGCACGAAGCCATACACCACTAGTTAATATTTTTATCTACAATTCTACGTATATTTTGAATCTGACGCGTTTCCAAACAAAACATGTCAGTTATGAATCAGCTGTCCAATCACGGTACTCCATTACTTTTGTTGATTCTTTTGTTTGAACTAGCTTTTTGTTAGTAAGCTGAGCTTATGTTTGACTGAGTAATAATAATCAAGTGTTGTTTTTAAAATAATTTACAGATATGATTTCAGCTTTTTTGTCTAGAATCATTCTTTTAATATGCGGACTTTTATATCCAGCGTACTGTTCTTATAAATGTATCAAATCCAAGGATGTTAAAGGTTATGTCAGGTGGATGATGTATTGGGTGGTTTTTGCAACATTCACTGCTTTCGAAACCTTTGGCGATATTTTGATATCATGGTTTCCATTTTACTATGAATTTAAAGTCTTATTTTTGAGTTACCTTCTGTCACCAGCTAAGGGTAAGTTATATTTTCTATTTCAACAAAACTTGATTGTAAGAAAAAACCATGCACAGATTTTTGAAATATCATTCTAATTGCTCTACTTGCTTTGGTCCAGTTATGTAAACTGGACTAAACATAATTTATTAAATTTTTGCTGAAAGTGAACATTATTTATATGTGCAACGTGCAATAGGTTAATATATCATAATAGGTTTATCTTAAACTCCAATAAAAAAAATAGCTGAGCTGAGCTGAGCTTGTAGTTGGTTAAATATATTCCTAAGAACTAAAACTAATTTTGTAAAATATGCTGTACTTAGAATAATGTAGAATTATTCAAATATCACAAAATGTATTTCATTATTTAAAGCTATCTTTCTATATGAATGGCTTATTAATTGGGAATAAAAAATGAAACAAATAATGTTACTAACAAGACAAAATTATTTCTAGGTAGTACTATTGTTTACCGCAGAGTTATCCATCCCATATTATCGGAGAATGAAGCATTTATAGACGCTAAAATAGCAAATATGAAAGGAACAATGTATGCAATTTGCAAGCAATTTGGGTCTAATGCTGTAAAAGTAGCTAGTACAACAATTGTGCAGTCTGCTGCAAAATACATTCCAAAAAGTGTATCAGACTTTGCATTGAGTGCTCAAAGCGAAACCTCTGAAGGCCGCCCTGTGAGAAGATCCCAATCAAATGACGTTGTTGATCGAGGTTATTAAAATAAAAAATTGTTTAAAGATTATATTATTTCAATGAATATCATTAGTGTAATATATTATAATAGCCTTAACCTGTATATATTTTCAATGAAACATCTAATATTAGTCAATTACTAACATATATAAGTTTGCAGGTTTTGAATCGTCAGACGACATATCAGAGGATACTGGAAGTTGTGCGAGAAGTAGATCAATTAGAACCAAACCAATTACAAGAAGAACAAAACGTAATGTGAAAAATTCACGTTCTACATTAAGAGACCAAGCAGCAGATGTTGACATCTGATGTGGTCACTAATATAAGTTTTAATAATATTCTCATTGCCTTATGTGATATGCAATTGCTGCTACAAAGACATTAGTTTAAGTTATGAAATAGTCCATGTAATACAGTGATCTCTCTAAAGTCTGATAGAAATTTTTTTAAGTATTGGTCGGCCTACTAACTTGAATTGAAACCATGAATCATGTTATCATCATATATCATAGCCCTAGTCATAACGTATTACAGTTAGAATTATTTTTCATTTTTATAAAATTGATAAAAAATGTATTTTATTATCTTATGAAATAAACTTACCTGTTGATAATATTGGTTATTTCATTAATTGTCATATCAGGAATGGATATATTGGATTTTGGATGAAAGCACATTACTTTGCACACGCCTTGTGCTGGCCCCATTTGAAATAATGGATCAGTACTGGTTGGGGGATTTGGTACATCTGGCAAAAGAGCCGGAAAGTCATTGTTAAAAACAAAAGTTGTTTTGTAATCTGGATTTCTCTAAAATAAATGAATGTTGACAAAGGTGATTATACTGATCATGTATATATATATATATATATATATATATATATTAGTAGCCGACCTGGCAAACATATACTCATAAAAACTATTTCTAGAAAGATTTTAAAATTAAAAATTTTGCATTGATAGTCATTGCAAACGCGAGCCTAATCTGAAACTGGTTTCAAATTAAACCTTCCCGTAAGTTGAGGACTATTTCAATTCAAATAAACTGATACCTATTCACAAAAAGTTGATAATTCAATCTTTTATAAAATCATCTTTAAGAAAAATTTAATTTACTTTAATATATATATGATATATTAGTTTTATTTTTTTGTTGAGCATAAAATTCAAATAAAGTCTTGTACTTCTGTTACATTGTGTTTAACAGAAAACAAAGATAAGTTTTTATAATACCCTTTCGCAAGTTTTGTATAAATCATTTATTAAGAATTTTGAGAAGAAGGATCAAAAAAATTAATAGCAATATTTAAACTAAAATTAATAAAGCAATGACATATATATATATATATATATATATATATATATATATACACATATCTCGATTTTGCATGATCTTGATCTTTAAAAAATATTCAAATATATGTATTCAAAGATCTAAAGAATTGTTGCAATTAAGATTGTCATAAACAATAATTATTATTACGTTTATGACACTCACAATAAGAATAAAGAATATATATCTATTACATACAAAATTAAAAAATATGCTTAAGAATGCTTTTGGAAAACTACCTCTCCGTTGCTGCGAACAACACCAGGACAGAGTGGATTCTTGGCATCAAATTCTGGAGGACCAGCTTCATTAACTGGTTCAACCTGCCCCTGCCATGGTCTCTTCATTCTGTGAGGACATACAAGCACCCATTGTCCATTCAATGGATTATAACGCGTATGAGGGTGATCTAAACAATTCAAAATTATACAAAAATTGATTTTAGAATATACCGAACCCTTTTTTACCATTTTCATTAAACTTTTCCATTGTAAACAGGTGGAGATAATTATGTAATTGATACAATATTTTATAATAGATAACAAATCTAAAGTCTGATAACCATTTGAAATATTAGGTTATGTTATGATAATTCATACAATTTAAGATTTGTTCAGTAGGTTATGTTCCATTTCTAGCAATGCAATTAAAAATACGTAATGTTTATTATATATTCCAAAAGTAAAAATAAAGTGCATTTATTATATACATACGAATGCATGAATATATTTAATATATGTAAACAATTAGTTTGCTGACTAACATATCTCTGCTGCTCAGTATTAATTAGGGTAGTTGAAAGTCAGTTCAGTCATAATCAACGGTTAACATGATTTTTTATTTTAAATACTTACATTATGTCAGAATAAATTTATCAATTATAAGAAGATTTAATACTGAAAACTTTCTGGTTAGAAGCACTCAAGAAACAATATTTTTATGAAATTTCTTTATTAGAAATCATAGAAATTACAAAAGCTCTTATTTATCAACTAAACATGTGTACACAACTGATTTCAAATCCACACATTACTTTCATGACAAAATCTCCATTTGAACTCAAATGCACAATTAAAAATAGAGTTATATTAAATTATAATTAATGTCCATAAAACACTAAAGCATTACTTTCCACTAGCCGTCGCCAGTGGGTTTCGCAGTACCAGGATTACAGAATCGCCTCGTAAAAACATCTTCGATATAAATCTATCTCTGTTAACTGGCTTTGCCTGAAATAATTCAATTTGAACTTAAATAAAGGTAATATAATAACAAAGAAAACTATTAGAAAAAGATCAATATTATAATACTGTAAGACAATATCGAATAATAGAATTAGTGCTTGAGCAAACGGCTAGGAGTTTTCCATTTCTATTAATTAAAAAGAATAATGTAGTTGAAAGTGAAATAACACAGTCTTTTTTTCATTTTTTTATATTGATAGTGGAACGTAACGGTCTGTCCTCAACCATTACATGAATGCTAGTCAACAATTACCAATAACTTTTAGGTAATTGTGTAATATACACTAAATCCTATTTCTTTTTCAAAAAGAGACAATTACCTTTTTCTTTCCTTTGCCAGCTCTGGGTTGTTCCACCCACATCTCTTTTACATTCTCCAAAACCATATTGCAATGCCTATCAAAAGCCTTGACGCGGGCCAGAAGCTTTTTGTTGTTTCGGCAATTAATAAGCACCTGGGTATTATTTTTAACAGATTGCGTCAAAACGGATAAAGGGCCTGTATTAAATTCTTCCTCTTCCCGCTTAGCCAGCTCCTCCGGAGTCATTTCTGATTTCGGTTTGACAGCAGACCTAAAAAGATAGTATACAGTAACATGTGCGTAAATATTACCAAACTCGAAACATACATTATGAAATTGTCTATAAATTAGTTGTAAAAGTTTTCTAACAATCGTCTGAGAACTTAAAATAAACTACAGAAGACAGTTAACCTAGAACGAACAAAAACCCAAACTATGTTCGCCGCAAAAATAAAGAACAGAGCGCACATTTCCATGGTAGCATATAGATCAAACTAGTAGCAAACCTGCGACATCTTCCGAAGGAAACTCGAACATTCCGTCAGAGCGGCGAGTTTAAATTGTCAAAGTTAATGCAACACAACGAACTTTAATAGAAAATCGTAGTGTTCATTAAAAATAGGAATTGAGTTTGTCCCAGAAAACAGGTTTTTGATTGTAAAACTTCTACTATCTATATCTACTTTGATATCCCATACTAAACATATATCTAAAGTGTTGGCATAAGGGGCCGTTCAAGTATTACGTAAGCATTATAGGGGGGCGAGTTATTTATTTGCTTATTTTGCTTATTTTAGGTAAGAACTTTGCTTACTTTTGCTGACAAAGAGGAGGGGGGGGGTAATTAATTGTAATAAATCTGCTTACGTATTACTTGAACGATCCCTAAATAATTTTAGATGAGGAGTAAACACCTCAATAATAATACAGTAAGTAATTAGTAAGATGAATAAAATTTTCGCTATAGCAAAAATAATTAATACAATTTTTAATTGATGTCTCTCAAACAATATTTATAATATCTACTTATAATGTTCAAATATTTTTTTCGAAAATAAAATTTTTGCTGTCACAAAAATAATCAACACGATTTTCAAATGATGTCTCTTATAACATCTATAATAAAATTACAATACATATAATATCTGTAATTGTATAAATTTGATTAATTTGTTTAACATACATTTTATTTCATTTATTTCATAATTTAAAAATGTATTTTATTTGAGTGTTGACGTAAACTGTAATCAGTAATTAATTACGAAACACGGAACCATAGATAAAATACATATAACGTACATATGCACAATAGGCATTGATTCTGATCAGAATCTAAATTGGAACTGGGGGGGGGGTCTAATGTTTTATTTCAATTTTAAAGCTTATTATATAAATATATACAGCTGTTATTTTACTAAATAACAGCAAATTTATTCAGCAAATGCAAAATATAAATTCCATGGGAACATTTTTTATAGATATAACATGCACTGTATATAACATTGATCTGGTATTTTGTCAGAAATATTCATTAGTAGAGTTGGAATAACTGTTTATTCAAATTATCTCTTTACAGTTCAAAATAAAATTTTAAATTTAGAGAAAAATCATGAAGTAATTGTACATCTACTCTTCACCTTTTTGATTATCAATATAATGTTCTACGGTTTCGAGCAGTCATTATTATTCCGTTTTTTTTGCCGAGCAAATTGTATTCGAAAAGTTTCACCGTCCTGGTTGCCGCATACCATTTTCATATTTTAATATATCAACGTAATGAAATGGAGATTTAGCTTAAACTTTTTGCAGCATTTTTCATTTGAAGAAACAAACGCGGGAGTAGTTTAGTCGATATTAAAAGCATGATTTATTCATAGAACTGTCTTGAAATTGAATATCTCAAACTAAATATCAAACAAACATGGAAAGAATTTATACTTTTTTCATGCTTTAGTACATAATTCGAAGAAATTCAAGAATGCTTTCTTACCGATGACAGTAATTTAATATTTATTTCTTTTGTATCAGACGTAAAATGTGGTGAAGCATTTAAAATGTTTTCACAATATGATCAGGGGATACAGTTTAGTACGCAAGCTGCATATATGTATATTACGATTTAAACAGATGGTATGTTCTCAAAAATGCTATTTGCGATATTAATGAAACTTGGCACCCATTGTCACAAATTTAAAGTTGGAACATTTAATAGTTTAGGACAGGGCTTCTTAAACTTTTTTACATAGCGACCCCCTTCAAGCTCAGAAAATTTTTAACGACCCCCTTCATATAATGAAATAATAATAAAATATTTATTAACCGTAGATGTAGATGTAATATCACACTATTTTACAATGTAAATAAAATAAGAATCAAAGAATACGTATCCATTTATTTCACACACACACACACACGCTCATATATATATATATATATATATATATATATATATTCAATAGATAAGTCCTGGATTTTTTCAATATATTGATTGTTTCTTTTCCGAACAGTAAATCCAATAATAAAAAACAATTTGTTTTTTGAAGATGTTTAATACGACGTTTCGGAACTAGGTACGTTCCATCATCAGGTTTATTCTGTCAAATACAATGTTTTTTAAAATACTGATTAACATTAATTAACAATGGTCAATACAGATTAATTAGAAAAAAATTTTGTTATAAAGGAATGGATTATGTACCGGATAGATAGTAATAAGACTTAACTAAAAAAGGTTTTATATAAAATTGAGAAGCAAAAATTATTTACCTGTAATAATTTATATATCCATATCACTAATATTTTTTTGTTAAAAACACTCGATTTTTTTGGAAGATATTTGTAGATGTTACGACTACACAAGACTTAAACACACTGATATGGATTTCTGTCTGCCAGATGTAAAGGACAAAGCACGGAACTCTTGGCAAATTTTTTTTTTTTTTTTTTTTTTTTTTTTTTTTTTATTATTGGATTTACTGTTCGGAAAAGAAACAATCAATATATTGAAAAAATCCAGGACTTATCTATTGAATATACTCCAGAACACAATGGGACGAAATTTCTTTCAATCACTGTCAAACACTTCAGACCACAAGCACCACACTCTGATGAAAACATTTTCAAAACTCAATATTAAATATGCAAAAGCCATCAACAAAAAAATATTTTTATTACGATGTAAAAATGAATGGATTATACCGAATTTCATAACTAATATTATCAACCAACAGTTTTTACAAACAACTTCAAATATATATAAAATTGAGCGGCAAATATCATACTTACAAAATTCAGTACTTAAATTAGAAATAAAAAATTCTTTTATTGACATAAAAAATAAAAAAACACGAATAGATCAGATAATAAATACACTCCGAGAAACAATAGATAAAAATACTTTTAATAAATTTTTAGAATTCGAAAATAAAAAATACGATAAACACTTTCATATTATTAAAAATAAACAAATACAGAAATTGAAAAATCTTATACAAATTCGAGATAAAAATTATCCATTTCATGTTTCTAAATTTTCGATAGACAAATGGCTAATAAATAAAACCAATATAGTCATTCCAGAAAATATCCAATACATTTTAGCACTCGGTCAAAAATTCAATTACGCACCTAGTAAATACAGAAATAATGACTTCATAAAAATTTTAAGTAACATAGAATACAATATCAGGAACATTGAGACTGACAAGCAAAATCGAATCAGGTCAAAACTATGTGAAAAACTAGTTAAACAATTAAAAAAAGTTGATAAGAGTTCCAACATATTCATTAAAAGTACACCAAAGATATAGCGGAGACCAAATTATTCATTAAATCTAATAATATAATTGTTTGTCCAGCAGATAAAGGCAATATGACGGTAATTCTTGACAAAGAATTTTATACTAACACTACATTACGAATGCTAAAAGATGATACTACTTACAAAATCATTACAAATGATCCAACACAACAGTTTTCTAGACAATCAATTAAATTAATTAATGAATTAAAAAATAAAAAATTCATTTCTGACAAATTTGCCTATAATTTAAAAGTACAACATCCTATTTCCCCAAAAATGTATTTCTCCCCAAAGTCCACAAACCTGAA